TTCTTTACTTACTTACTATGGAAGAGAATGGAGCCAATACATAAATATGACCCTGGACCACAAAACCAGTCATAAGGGTACATTTTTTTAAATTGAGATTTATACATCATCTGAAATAAATAAGCTTTCCATTGATGTATGGCTTGTTAGGATAGGACACTATTTGGCTGAGATACAACTATTTGAAAATCTGGAATCTGAGGGTGCAAAAAAATCTAAATATTGAGAAAAACGCATTGAATGAGAAAAACGCATTGAATGAGCTGAACTTGCACTGAACCTGGGATGTTCTTTTAAGTGGCCTGATGACGTCAGCTGAAATTAAAAAGTTGTTTCAAATAAGGTGAAAGTAACATTTTGAAGACGATTTAGAAAGATTTTTTTTTCTCTTAAAAAATATGTACTGATGAATCAGCCATAATAACATGTATTAAGAAAGTAAATAGGGTCAATATTTGTTTCATGTTGACTTACAGTCTAAGGGGATAAAATTAGCGCAGGTTTGATTGAGCGTAGACAGAAGCATCTGATGTAACAAGGATCTTTTTTCTTTGGAGTGGAGATTGTCTTGCCTGCCAAGAGGGTGAGTCGATACTGGCACATGGGACTCATGCCAAACTGTTCGAGGCGCCAGGGCTCAGATGTAGCGTGAGGATGGGTGTGTCCGTGCATGGCATGGGTAACCAGGAGAAGTGCCAGACTACAATTCTTCAGAGAAACTCTCTCTCTTTCTCTCTCTCTATATTTTCTACTCTCTTTCGTTTGCTCTGTCTCGATTTCACTCATTCATCCTCTCCACTTTCTCTCTCTCACCATCTTCAGACCGTCTGGATGCTTGTTTTTTTTTTCAAACACACACACACACAGACACACCCCACTGGAGCTAAATCAAAAATCTATGCTCTCAATGGCCAGTCAATATCTCATTAAGCAGTCACTGTGGCCAAGCTGGCAGGTAATGCATTTCACAGTTCTGACACACACTCATACACACTCCGACAGTCTCTCTCTCTCACATGCCATACACTGTAATAACCTGTGGAAATATGGCACTCAGTTTCTTTCACAAGTTGTGCTGGAATATGGTCACTCAACCTCCAAGGAGAAACGATGACAGACTGTGTGTGTATGTGTGCTTGTGTATATGCTCTTATCAATCCAAAACCCACTTCCACACACCAGGATTGATCCCTTGGTTTGATTCAGTCATGTCTTTTGGCAGGTCTAGACTGGAGTAGATTAAAGTCGATTACACAGCATTCAAACTTTACACTGCAATGACATATAAAACTAACCTTGCTGTGCAAAATTTTGACAAAACTTGCTCTACAAAATTACGCAACTGTGAAAATGCTGTCTTTTTGTAGAGATTTCATTATTTATGGTGGCGATAGATACTATGCCATAAAAACAACGACCTGCAAGAACTTGACCAAACAAGAAGAGAAATAATGCAATAGTCTGTAATAGCGCCCCCTGTGGCAACCATGAGAATGCAACACATTTAAATATTTCAGAATATAAGACAGTAACATTCAAGTTTCAGGCCTTAGATTCAGGTCTTAGATTCAAATAGCTAATTTTTTTAATAAATTTAGAATAAATTCTGGTTTATTTTTAAACTTATTCAAACTATCGACCACTTAGACAGAAAGAGAGCATTCTGAATATCATCTAAATATTTTTTTCCTCCATTTTAATGCGACTTTAAAGGGCAGAATGATAAAAAAAAATTTTTCCCAAATGTGGGTTTTTACATTTTAAACTTTTTAAACTTCTAAAATGTATTTTCTTACACATTTTGGAATACAAGACAGTGCCATTTGAGTATGTTTCAGTCCTTATATTCACATTGATAGCTTTTTGACCATTACAATAAAGTCTGGTTTATTTTGAAACTTATTCTGACCAATAATTGGCCACTTACACAAGACGACACCATAACATGTATAGAAAAGATAACAACTATTCTTTATTTTAACACAACATTCAAAGACAGTGTGATAAATTCTTTTTCAAATGTAGGTTTTTAACATTTTGAAGTTTTGAAACAGCCAAAAGCTTAATATTTAATACAAAAACATTAACACTATACCAAGTAGAACTTAAATATCCATAAAAGTGACTTCTTACCCCACTCCATAGCAAAACCCGAAGCCGCTGCAGAAATAGTCCACTTAACACTCCTTGCTGGCCAGTAATCTTGCTCTTTATTTTTAACCCTAGCTAGTGGGCTACATCTTTACTTCACCTTAATCTGATTTTGCCTGCCCTCTTTCTGTGCTTTGTGGCTAACTGGATTACAGCCAATCTTGTTAACCTCTGCTGTGCTACCGAAGTGCCCAGAGAATCACACAAGTCAAGAACACTCTACTAGCCTAGTGACTAAAGAGAGAGAAAGGGCAAACCACTAACGTTCACTTGCATGCAAATGTTATTTGCTTTAACTTTGTTTGTAACGTCTACATGCGTTTATATTCATTCTAGTCTGGTACTTTTCAGAACATGTGCAAATCACACGCAAAAAAAAAAGTGAGGTTTCAAACAGCTCTTTTACAACATACTTTATAGATTATTAAAGGGTTAATTACCACACAGATGAAACAGGCCTGTTTTTTTCTGTCTTTGGCACATCAAACAACTTTCTTTAATTATGTAATTAATATTTGGAGTTTTCATCTTAATTGTGTGGAGCAGGCTAGCTCATTTGCATAGGGTAATGAGAGGGATGTTTCCATTACAGGTAATTAGGTACTTGAGAGGCAAGTGTGTGGCTAGGAGGCTGGGAAAGAGGAAAGGAAAAAGGAGGGATGAGGGGTACGATCGGAAAAAAGACAGATAACCCTATCATATTACTGAACAAGGAGGCGTTAGCGTCTGTAACGACATGCCTGTCAAATGACTTGCAAAGCAAACACTTAGTAATTGCCAGACGTGAATGAAATGTGGTTTCACAGCGAAATCAGTGTCGCAATCAATCGACTGGCTCTGATAAAGATGCTGGACTGAAATTAGGTTTTATGAAGACTTTTACAAAAACTAAATAAAATAAAATAAAACAAAATAAAACAAATGAGACTGTCTATTAATTACTTTTAAGTTTTGGCAATGTTAAATTAAATTACATAAAAATACATGTTGTTTCCAATAGAAAACACTGAATAGCAATTCTATAAAAAAAAACTGAGTCAAACTGCAAAAAAGTATCAACCACTCTAAAACATTACAAAATCTTTTATTAAATCATTTTAACATTGGAATGATATAAAAATACAAGTTGTTTTCAACAGAAAACATCTAATAACAAAATTCTATTAACATATTGTAACTGAGTCACTGCAAACAGTATCATCAACCTCTATAAAACAAAAGGTAATCTTTTATTAAACAGTTCAAAAATGAAATTACACACAAATACAAGTTGTTTTCAATAGAAAACATCTAACAATACACAATTTTATCCAAATATTGCAACTGAGACCATGCAAACAGTATCAACCGCTCTAAAACATTTGAAAATCTTTTATTAAAGAGTTAGACACCCTGTAGATGTATTTTGGTTCTACGATTATGGATTCCTCCAGTCTCCAGAAGCTCTAATTTCAGTTTGTAAGCTTCTTCAGAACAACCCACACATGAGACACGGGGTCAGAGGCTATCGCATACACCTGCTCCATCTCCACAATACACACACACACAAACACACACTTGCACGATCATACCCACAAACACACACTAACGGCTGCATGCATGCAAAAAACTAAACCCACACGAGCACTCAGACAACATGCTTTCACATTCAGATGCCTGTGAAGGTAGGAACAATCCAAACACTCAAAGATCTGAACAAGAAGGAAAAAAGGTTCACAAAACATAAACTTCAATGCACGTCCTTGCAAAATCAAGTTGGAAAATTAGCATAAATATTTTATCATAAATATAGCATAGTGATGCATTTTGATGCTGCATAAAAACTCATTAATACTTGCTATTTAACTGATCTCCAACACACAGATACCACAATCACAAGGTGGTGTTGTGGTAATGCAATAACTGCGAGTGCAGTGGAGGTGAACTGTCGAAAAGCTTTCAGTGGGAGATTCACGGAGAGTGTGCGAAGGAGAAGAGTGGTGTTACCGCGGCTCAACACCAACATCCATTGCTTTTTCCACTCTCAACACCTCTCGCCTAATACAGAATGACAGCTGCGTGTGTGTGTGTGTGAAGCAGAGGGGATGTGTGTGGCGGCACGGACGCATGGAGCACTAATGGATCGGAGAGTGTATGTATTTTTAAGAGTAAAAAAGAGACTTCAAATGAAAACAAATGAATGTGAGAATGCAGGTTATCCCAGTGAACAGGATTACGGAGGCTGGATCAACACTAGTATAGTGGTGTGGCGCTCACCCTGGTTGTTCACAGCCCAAAAAACAGGTCAGTGGAACACGACACACACCGACGTCAACCCAAACGACTGCCAGTCGACACGTCCTGCGTCCCAACTCAAAGTGTCCTCGACCTTTTCCCTTCGACAAGACAAAAAATATCTTGCTTTCTGACTTGGGGCGATGAGACCACCAGTTCTTGACTTAAAACTGAAACTTTGAGTGCGTAAAATAATAATAAATAGTATTATGTTGAATGAAAATTAAACAGAAAAATCAGACATCAGCATACTAACAGCCTCTTCTTTTTTTTTTTTTGACATTCAGCTGCTTCAGCAACAGAACTTTCTCATTCATATCAAAGCACTAACTTAATTTCCTTGCAAAACAGAAATGTAAAGCAATGCCACAACTTAATTTCCCTGAAACAAACACTTGCACAAGCCCCAACACTGACTCTCTCTCTCTGTCTCTCTCGCTCTTTCTCTTTGCACGAGACGCTCTAACAGGGAGTTGGCTGACTATGAATAAAGCCCTTTGCAGCTCGACTCGCTCGCAAAAAAGGAAGTTTACAAAAAGGACAGACAGAACCCCAGCATGCTTTTCTCCTCTTACCTTTCATAGCTGAAATCACAAAATACATCATTAAGCTCAGCGGTCCATAAGCGAGCGGTATCGCGAGTGCTAGCTCAAGCAGTCCACTGCTGTTTCAGCAGCAGCTGGCCAGCATAGCTCTGCCGCTCAGCTGCGCTCGCATGACCACACCAGAATCCATGTGACTCTGACATCAGCGCTCCCTCACTCTTGGGCCCGCCCCTGGGTTGTGATTGGCAGAGGAGGTGGCCAATGAAAGGGGAGGGGAGGGAAAAAAGGGGGTTGGGTCTTTTTCTACAGACTGCAGTGGCTGTGACCGGGGCTGATGGGATGGGTGAGGAGGGTACGAGGCGGCTGTCACTGTCTCTTGTGCTTTATCGCAAACAAGAGAAAGTCATAACAGAAGCACAACAACAAACAAGTTTTTTTTTTTTTCCAGCTCGCAATCATGATGGTAAAACGACTGAGAGAATGGTTAGTCGGACACAAAAAAAAGTAAGGGCTTATATAAAAAAGGACAAATAAGAGGTGTTTTACAATGATTATATATCTATATATCTATATATATATATTATATAATTATTATTACATAAACAAAACAGAAACACAATACCAAACAATTTTTTAAGAGCTCAATCTAGAGACTGAAAGAATTTTTGGTGGGATGTACTGTATTATAAATATGATAAAAATGCTACCATTTATTATGCATAGTGTCATTATTAAATATATTTAAACTGCTAAATTACAGAAACATGCCACGAATAACCTAGGACCTATTTGTAATTTCAAAATTGAATATTTGATTAATATTTTAACAAACTGTCTAACAGCTTTGTACAGTTTGTTAATTAATGTTCATTATATATACACATACATTCGGATAAATCATTATTTTTTTATAATTTAATATATATAATTCAATATTTTACTACATCTATCTATCTATCTATGTATCTATCTATCTGTCTGTCTGTCTGTCTGTCTGTCATTTAAAATTTCAACAAATCTAGATTAATTACTTGACTTCACTAATCGAATAATTGGTTGTCGAGTTATCTAGCTGTTCACCGTGACCCATTCTAAGCAACTAATTCCTTAAACAAGAGGTCCTGAACAATTTTTTATGAGTCCAATTAGTAGACTGTACCATAGTGTAATTTACTGGACACCCATTCTTCACAGGTCCCGGGACATTTTCCCTGCAGACAAACACCCTGTCATCTCTAGTATGTATGCGTGTATATTTAATGTAACTAAAGCTTTGGCAAAGCAGAGCTTATTTTATCATGCCAATAAAGTTGTTGAACGAAACAGTAGGGGCAGAAAAAGGTGAGAATCAAAAAAAGAATCCTGTTTTTCTTTTGTCTTGGCGCTGTGACGGCAGTCTCTCTCTTCCTATGTGCTAATATTAGACGGGCAGATGAGGCTGCAAGCAACTCCAGACGTTTTCGGGGAGAGAGCGAGCGAGCGAGAGTGTGTTACTGGCCGTTTCTCTGACCACCCTCCAGGAGGCTGGTTTAATCTTTTCCTCTCTCGCTGCTCGGTGTCTTGCCTGTTGAGAGAGGTGCTCACACGGGCTGCCCTGGCAGCTGAGCTCCAGAAGATAGCAGGAGAGAGAGGAAGAGAGAGGGACTCATACTGATCCTCCCACCACACAGTGACTGTCTGATGAGTTTCACTATCTCACCATCCTTTTCGGTTTCTCTCTCCATCGCTCCGTCGGAGACCCCCTCTCTCTAGTGAGCTCTCTCTCTCTCTCTCTCTAATAATCTGCTCAGGCTTCTTAGCAGCTGGCTGCTCATGATTCTGGTCTTAGAGAGAGCTGGTTCCGGCCACAAACCAAACCCAGCTCCATTTTGAGCCTCATAAATAAGCCCCTGCTCTTCTCATCTCCGCCCTGGACTAACGTGAATCTCAGATAGCAATATTTCAGTGCATTAAAAGAGAGAGAAAAAATATTACTGAAGCATCTGAAGCATGACCTCTAATAAAAACCCTTTTATTGAACGATCAACTAAATCTACTTTTTTTTTTAAATATATGAATGAGGTTTTATTCCCTATGTAATTATAATTTAAGCAATTATCACACACTTAAGCAATTAATCAATTAATCACACACACAAATTGATCCATCTTTTTACTTTACAAAACAGTAATGTATTCATTCCCTTTATTCAAATCAAGTTAATATTTTATATAATGAAGTGAAAAAATTGTTTTTCAATTTGCCAATCAATATTTAAAAATAGCAATAATAGCAATATTCAAGCCCTTTAATAAAAGTACAGCTGAACAATGTACTAAAACATACACCTTTTCACCTACAATATATAAATGTAAATTTAATGTAACAAAAATGTGCAAGAGTAACCATAATTTGCACGAAAAACCACAGTAACTTGATGTTAACCTCTACAATAAATAAATAAATAATAAACAAAACATAACGCAACGCAGAGCAAAGCAAAACTCAAAACAACAAAACAAAACAAAGATTTGAAATTTGGAGTTCCCTTATTCATTTATTAGGGCTTTGCTGATGCTGTACCCAAAGTTTTGCTATAAGCTGTAAAGTAACAGCAGTATTTTAATAGAAAATACTGCATGGTTAACACAGTAGATTTATTTTAATTTAGAGTTATAAATATGTTTGTATGTGTGATAGGCTTAAGGTAAAATCACTGTTTACCTGAATGGCTGCGGTTGCTATGCTAATTTAACACTAAATGAGCAGGAATAACTGCGCTGTGAATCCCCTGAATAAAAAATTAAAATAATGCAAATACACACTCCGCACCTGATGCCATAAATCTCTGAAATTACCGTCTGATCACGACCTCTTGTGTGATCCATTAGAGGCAGCGAAAATAAATTAACTCATGTTATGTCAACACTAATCCGTCAACAGACTCCGCTTAATAAGCAAAATATAATTTCCCCTCCATGATTATCAAATGAGGTGTATCATAGCTGAAAATTAGCCACGTCGAAAGTTGCATTAGCTGCCGTGGAGGTAGTTTAGCTAGTGTCACACTGTGCTGTTAGCATTAGTGTTAGCGGTGGCCTGTTTTGCTTCTATTAGGCTACTGTGTTTTTGTCTGCGTGGTGCTCATGCTCTTTGGTGAGTCAGTCCAACTGCAGCTTGCGGTAAGGTTAAACTGCTTCGCTCTGTCAAGATACTTGTGGTCGGTAGGTTAGCAACAGTGCTGTGGTTAGAGCAGACTGCTGAGAGAAAGGCTTTCAGAACAGCATGCTGTAGCCTCTGGGCAGTGCAGTTCAGTCGCGCACGTGTGTACGTGGAGCGGAAAAAAGGCTACATGTGCACTCGCATGCAAAAACTAACAGCACGTTTTCTAAACCTAAACCTTTAGATCTCAGTGCGATAACCCCAGATTAGACTACAAACGAGTTATCAGTAATGGTGGAAAAAAGATGTCTGTGGCTTTGAGAGTTGCTGATGAAAAGGATAGTGGAACATTTGTCTTCTCGTGTGTGTGAATGTTTACAGCCGTGGGTAACTGTAGCTCTGACGATGAACTTATTGACTTTGCATATACATTACCGCATTATATAACCACCATGCCACTCATTATAAGGCCGATGAGTATCAGTGATATACAAAAGCATTGGTTTCTACAAAACACTAGGCATTTAGACCAGCGAGGCATGTTAAATCGCACGCTGTAATTTCCTAGTGTGTCCCCAACCAGTCACTGGAGATGTTGGCATCTCCGAGGTGTCAAAAATCAAACTGTGAAGAACTGCAACAATCAATGGAGGAATTAAGTGGTGTTAATGACAACAGCTGCCACCAGACAGGCCTCGTCTTCTCCGCTCCATGCCCTGGAATGCATTTCCTCTCCTTTCAAACTCAGCTTTCCCATACTCAGAACCAAGGCCTGTGGAGTTTGATGGTAGTCTCCGAAGACATTGCCTATTTTCAGGCAATGAATTGATTGAATTGCTTTGTTCAATCAAAGCACTAACCCAACCCAGTGACCGTGAATCGCCAAGTAGGACATGTTCCTGGATTAGCATCCTTATTGCAACCTTCCAATCAACCGATCAGATTTTAGGGATAAGGAAAAGGTTAAGGTTAGGGGTCAGAGTCTTGAAGAATGTTCTTCTAAATCAGCAGTTTCCTTCAGATTTATGGTTTGGATTTGGTATTAGGAACTTTCGAGAGGAACGTTGTTTCAGGACCAACAAAAGCAATGGATCCAGGAACACGTTCTACTTGGCAAAATCATGGCGACCAAAGACCTTAACCCTACAACTGGTCACCACGATTTTGCCAAGACATGCTCCTGGATCAACATATTTTGTTGATCGTGGAACAACATTCTGTCCAAAAAAAAGTCCAAGTTCCACTCTTATACCCACCCCTACACTTAATCCTACTCATAACTGACCCATACAATCAAAGGGAAGTGATAAGTGACTAAGAATGGTGTAGAAGCCCCTAATCCTGGTTTTAAATCTAATCTTGACATTAAAGGGATAGTTCACCCAAAAATGAAAATTCTGTCATTAATTCTGTACTCACCCTCATGTTGTTTGAAACCCGTAATACCTTCGTTCATCTTCGGAACACAAATTAAGATCTTTTTGATGGAATCTGAGAGCTGTCTGACACTGCATAGACAGCAATACAACTGAAATGTTCCCAAGTCCAGAAGCGTAGCAAGGAGATCTGTAAAATAATCCATGTGACATCAGGGGTTCAACCACAATTATACGAAGCTACGAGAATACTTTTTGTGCGCAGGTTCAACCGCAATTATACGAAGCTACGAGAATACTTTTAGTGCGCAAAAGAAAAACAAATAACGACTTTATTCAACAATTAGTCTCCTCCGCGTCACCCTGGTGCCATTTAGGAGAATATCCGCTGGACGTAAACAACGTATGCTGTTCTGTGTCAGCTGCGTCAAGCCGGAACTGTTTCCTACGTTGTTGTGATTTGATCCGAACGAAAACAGCATATCCGTGTGATGCAGCTGACGTTCCTGACGATCTCCTTGCTACGTTCCTGGACTTGGGAACATTTCAGTTGTATTGCTGTCTATGCAGGGTCAGAAAGCTCTCAGATTCCATCAAAAATATCTTAATTTGTGTTCCGAAGATGAACGAAGGTCTTACGGGTTTGAAACGACATGAGGGTGAGTAATTAATGACAGAATTTTCATTTTTGGGTG